CCGCAAGTTGGATCAAGTTGGGACTTGCTGAAGAACACAAAGGTAGAAGAGGTTGCCAGCAGGTTGTAAATGATGTTTCCCCTGTGCTTCTTTTCTTAAACTTTAACCCTCCAAGAAAAATGGGGTAAATATACCCATGCTTCATTCTGGGTACTTGGAGGGTTCGTTTGTACACTCATTTGGCCCAGGCCCAAGCAGCTGCCGCGGCTGCGCAGGGCGCCGAGCGCGGCGCGAACGCGGCAGAGGGGGCAGCTGCGGGGCTGGTGCCGGGACCTGCGGGGAGGTGGTGATGGGTCGATTGGTTGATCCCGTAGCTCATGGAGGGGACGTATTCTAACCAGATAGGTATTGTTGTAGACCCCATGATAAACCATCCCCAAAATTACCCTAAATGGGTTGTAGTCGTTTTTTTTGGTTGGGTTGCCTACATTTGCCCTTTATGGGCTATTTACCCATTGCCATAGTACTGGTAGCTTAGAAGCTCCTGTAATAAAATATTATATAGGTTAGTAGCTGTTAATTAGTAATACCAACTCATCTTTTGCAATCAGGATGTATACTAACCAGCTCTTTAAGAAATGCAGGGTATCTTTCATTGGTCATAGTTTGGGTGAAAACTCGTGCACGGATTGAAATCCGGTCGCGGGTCCAGATACATTTGCGCCCTTTGATTTGGGCGCACCTTTGATTTGGGCCAGAATATTTTGTCAGACCTGCCAGTGTAGGGCGCACCTACCAGTATTTATGATCATTATTTTGGTCCGATTTAGGTCCACCACCCGAGATTGGTACATGGTACATTGATGGTTGATCCAGTAGATTAAAAAAAAAAACATCCAACAGCACTTTCTGCACCCAGTTAACAACATGGTATATCCCCAACTATATATATATATAACCTCTGACTTGAAAATGGTAGACACCACAAGCCCATCTGGATTATCAGAAACAATGTTGGATATAGTTGATATTATAAGTAGGGAATGGAGAAAGAGACTAGACTAAGTCAGTCACCAGCAGAGTCAGACCACAATGATGTAGCAGATCCAAATCTTAAGGTACTCCTGACCAAGGTTTTTCCCTTAACCAAACATAATAAATAATTTATTATTTATTGACACTGGAAAATTGGTTCAAGAGGCAACAAAAATCATTATAATGTCGCTACTTGAAAACTCGATACTATACCGCATGCCAAAAAAATACCGTGAGTGACTTGGGTCTGGACCCTCACCAATTGATCCCAATTGTAGGTTTGTCCATTGGCTGTGCCACACACACACACACACTATCATCATTTTTAGAATTTGCTGCCCAAATTAATGTTAGGACCCTCTACTGTTGCCGTTTTTACGGATGTAATGTGCCGGCAGTTTTCTTTCACTTACTGCGTCCCCTCTTAGTTCCTTCTTGGAAAAATATGGTCAGGCGTTGAGAATTCGGAGTATTATCCATTGTTTGACACAGCATTGTTTGCTGGTCAGAATATGTCAGAATTTTGATATTTACATATATTTACTGCATGTATTTAATTCTAATTGTTCTAGTCCATGAAAGATTCAGTTCAATCGGGTATATTGTCTACCAAATCAATATAACATAAATATAACACACACACAGAGATATTTATATATATATATGTGAATACATTTTTCCAATCGTGATTTTAGATGTGGTAAGCCCATGAGATCAAAGCCACCAGTTTGGCAAGGTCCGGCCCTTTGCCACGCAGGTGCCGCCGAGCATCCACGCGACCATGGAGGAGTGCCGGATGTGGCGTTAAAACTGGTGCTGCCATACCCTTTGGTAATTTAACATAGCTATTGAAAATTGCCATAGAAATAGTGGATTTAGCCCACTGAAAATTGTGATTTTCTATAGTTTTTTGTATGTTTACCAGAGGGTAAGTTGATGTGCCCTTAAGAACATGTATAGCAGGTTTTTTGCGCTTCAGCTTGAGAGATTGGCTCCACAAATCCGGTGGTTTTGATGGGCCCAGGGGCCATGGCCAGGAGCAGATTGCCTTCGTGTGGAACTTAGAGCTCAACATTCTGCAGCAACTTGGTCATCCGATTGAAATCTAAAAACATGGAAAGGTTTGGAATGGCATGATCCACCTTGTATAGCAGGAACAAAACATGTCAGTGAAATAAATTCAGATAAATGATATATATTATCATATTATCACCTTTTTTTTACCTCGGCAAGAAGGGTGAAAGATGTCCAACATTTGAGGCGATGAAGTGCAGTGTCGTGCAGGAAATGGAGGCGAAAATCGTATCTGGGGTGCATCATTGGGAAGAATTGCATGGTAGATTTGGTTGGGCCTATTGGTTTTAGATGTTTGTTTCCTGTGGAGCAAAGTGTTCGTGGTTAAGACCATTTTTTGATGGCCCAGCCACGCACAAGGTTTTCCAAACATGGAAAAGACGATCCCGAAAATCAAATGGGACTAGAGCGTGATGTGATGAATTCAGTTATTATCTGTTGGTGGTTTGGAACATGTTTTATTTTCCATAATATATGGGATGTCATCCTTCCCATTGACTTTCATATTTTTCAAGATGGTTATTGCACCACCAACCAGTTATTGAATCTGCCAACTAGTGGTGGTCCTAAAACTTACAGTACTCTTCGCCATAGTTGCTAGCGGCCCCTAGATTCCACCGATTCCACCGTCTAAACATCATTTTTTTGATGGGTCTTTGCCGGCCAAACACACTTTGATGTTTCGTTTTTTGGGGATTAAACAGCCGCGGTATGTGAAAAATCACCAACAAGCCACTGGTATGTTTAATCAGGTGCCGAAAATTGTATCCATCATGCTGCTGTCTCGTTGGGGTTAGTCAAACCACCACTTTCTTGTGAGGAGATGATGAATAACGGTGCTTCGGTGGCGGATCGCAAGAAGGCAGCGGTGGTTCCGCTGGTGCAGTGCTTAACATGGGGACAGGTGGACCGGTGACTTTGCAGGTTGATAAAGCAGCTATTTTTTTTTCGAAGCCAAGCGGAACACTTGTGGTGTTTGTTTTCTGGATGTACTTACTTGTAAACCTTCTGGTTGGTGGTTTGGAACATGAATTTTATGACTTTCCATTTATTGGGATTCCGATTTTTATCATTCCAACCACCACCCAGCCTTCGTTTAAACCTTCGTTTTCTTCGTGAAGTTTGAGTGTAACTTTCACCACATGCGGGGCGAGTGTCAGATAGAATGCCAATTCAAAAAGCAGATATGTCAAATAGAATGTCAAAGAAAATGTCAGAATATGGAAAGGCCAGATGAAATGTCACAAACGCCAGAAAATATACTGTAGCTAATAGATTGTCAGAACATATGTCAAACAGAAGGTAAGATAAACGGTCGGAATGCTGTATAATACCAGTCAGAAATAATGTCAGTTGGTAGGGGTCATTCGAAGAAAAAACAACTCTCCTGTAATTTAACGTACGTAGCTATGAAAAATCACAACTTTCAACAGGTATATAAACAATGATAAATCATCTATAAAGTGTATAAATGCACCAATTTCTATACTTATCTTAGAGAGCTGGAGGGTAAAAAAGCAATAAAATCGATTGATTTTAACACACATACATACAATAATTACAATACAATACAATACCAATACCAATACCAATACCAGTACCAATACCAATACCAATACAAATACAAATATATATATACAATATATAAATCCGACATCATTTTGTCGTTTGTTTTGGAAAGATTTAGTCCAAGCTTGTTCCATGGATCCATGGGTCACATTGGTTGAGAAATGTTGGCATCCCAAGTTGTTCAAACTTTTTTCAGTGCTGGAAATCATTTTGCGGAATTTTAACAGATAAATCATCATAAATCATCTATAAATGTGGGTTAAAATAAATCCCAACTACATAAAATCATGTTTAATCCCAATGTTTGTTCGCTAAGTCCCGGTTGCTGTTATTGTTGGGCTTTGTTTTGTGGCATTGTTCAGTCTCACCCCACATCCTTTCGGAGTGGAGACGCTACTTAGCATGTAGAATCTTCGTGGTCGATGGGTTTATGACTTCATACCCTGTGGCAATCTCATCTGCATATAGAAAATTGTCATTGTCTTTTAGATGACATCCTACTTAAAACCAGTAGTTGTATCTATCATATACAGTATCAGGGATTTCCCCACGCATCCCATGGCCATGTTTCATCACCGGAGGGTAGTCGTCACTTACGACTTGGTCTTTGGAATCGGTTTTGTTTTTTAGATTTGCCCAGCCCAATGCGCTTTGTCCTAACACTGGCAGATATGTCCAATGCTTTACTTACATTATCTAACATTCACTTACAACAAAAATGGGATTCAGATGAATTGCCGTCACCAATGCGATTTCATTTGCATCCAGCATATTACAGCATTTGTTGATGGTTAAGTGTAAAAGTGCACCGCGAAACCCATGATGTGTGTTTACTGTGCTGTGTTTTGCCACGGTGTTTCCAAACATCCCTACGGCCAGGCTCTGAAGGCGTGGCAAATCAAGTGGCACCCCGATAAGAACCCGGACCAGGTCGAGGCGTCACCCGGGCCCTGGGTTGGTGGTTTAATCCAGCCATGTTGGTTTGCCAGATGCTACAGATTAAAAAAAACTGAAGTTGGGAATTGAGGTTTGTCAACCCACCGGTCTTCAGGCACTCGTTTTTGGTTTAGCCGTCACCATTCAACCAAAGGTTAGCTGCTGGTTTGGTGTTGGGTTTCCTGGGAATTCTCCAAAGTGCAGATATTCCAGAGCACCAAACCACCGGGCCACTGGGGCCACCACTGGCTAAGCGGCTAACCCCCCATTCTTTCCTATCCGTATCAGCCGTGCGCTGAGTGGAGGAATTTTGGGTCCCTTTTCGTTCCTGAAGGCCTAGAGATAAAGATCGCATCTTTCTGTCAAAAATGGACCAGTTTGTGGATCCCTTGTCTCAAGTTTTGACTGCAAGATCAGCACAAGTTGATTCGCTGCACTGCAGGAACTAAGGCCCAAAATCACCCCGGCAACGAACGGGAAACGCATCGCAACAGTGCCAATGCCGCCTAAAGCAGCTGCACCAAAAGCCAACCAGCGCCAAACCCCGCCACCCGAAGGCGGGGGTGCGAGGGAAGAGGATGATCCCACATTGACCAGTTTCTTTTTTGGCTGGGTGTTGAAACCACCAATCAGCCATTGGTTAACTGCTTTGGATTGGTGGTTTGAAAGGAGGCCAAGCCAAACCACCAGTCAACCATTGGCCAAGTATCCATGAAAATTGGTCAAAGTCTCAAGAGAATAAATGGATGTATGAACCAATTTTTCTAATTCATCATTGGTCCATGAAACCAGTTAGACACCATTAATGGATGCATGACCCAATTTTTCTAGGTACTGTGAGGAGCCTAGGGCGTTTTGTTTAGATCTCCTGAAGAAAAAAATCTTGCAGGGGGCGATGCAGCAGAAGATGCGCTCGGGGACGACTATGACATGCCTGTCATTGTGAAGGTGCGCTCGATGTAGCGATGTGAAGGTTTCTTCACATGGGGGAGCTCCTATAGCTGGATGGTTTTTTCCATGGAAAATCCCTCAATATATGAGTGATCCATAGTGATCCGTTGATTTTCCGGGATGGGATTGTGATTGGAAAAGGTCAAGACCCTTGATGAAAGCGGATCGGATTAGATGTCCTGAGAGAAGAAGAGATTGTAAACTCTGATGTGGTCATAATACGTCATATCTGACCCCATCATACCAGTTGCTAGCTACTAGCTACTTGGCCAACTCGGTTTCCCCAAGAATTAACACCTCCATATGGGACCCAAAATTAACAGATCCGGTACTGGGAGAGTTTCTTGATCTGGGTGTTGATCATTTAGGGACGGGATTCGGCATTCCCCCCGGTTAAAGGGTCTCAAATGGCAAACCCTTCTTTGGTGAGTTAGTTAGCTGGCTAAACAGCTAAACTTGACCAGACGGCGATGGAGGAAGAAGAAAGAGAGAGAGATAAATAAGCATGAATGTCAAGCCTGGATTTCTAAGCGCTGGTTGACTTATAATGATTTATATGTAAACCCATCCCCCGTTCAAATTAAGGCCTCCGTATGGTCCCAACATGCCCCAACAACATATGTGGTTCATCCACTACTAAACTCATACCAAACCATGATTTCTCGGGGGATTAGTGGTTATCCTAATTGGCTTATACCATCTTATACCTATGGTTCTCAACCACAATTCACCAGGTACTACCTAGGATGACTTATAAAAATAAAAATAATCCCCCGTTCAAATTAAGGCCTCCGTATGGTCCCAACATGCCCCAACAACATATGTGGTTCATCCACTACTAAACTCATACCAAACCATGATTTCTCGGGGGATTAGTGGTTATCCTAATTGGCTTATACCATCTTATACCTATGGTTCTCAACCACAATTCACCAGGTACTACCTAGGATGACTTAAAAAATAAAAATAATAATGGCAGCCGGGTTTTTCACGGGCTCAGGTGCGGCCAGACGATCAGCTGAATATCTCCCCAGAGGCCAGGAGTCATCACAGAAAAATGGGCTATTCTTGTGGGAAACCCAAGCAAGAAGTCATCTCCAACATCACCACAAATGGGTTGTAAGTAATTAACATAATTAACCATATCATCCCCAAATGGTAGGTTTATTGGGTGTACCACACTAAACGAAGCAGGTTGCCATGTTGCAACCAGGACCTGCTTCGCGGTGAATGTAAGCCGCATGACGATATCGAGAATGATAACTCCTGAATTTGGTAAACGTAAGGGTATCGTGAACTCTTAGTTTTCCCAGTTTGAATCGTATTTACCTTATGGAACATTCTCCCCATTTCTGCTGATGTCCCCATTAGAACTTATACTGGTTGGTGGTTTGGAACATGAATTTTATGACTTTCCATATATATATATGTGGATATGGGAATGTCATCATCCCAACTGACGAAGTCCATCGTTTTTCAGAGGCGTAGGTATACCACCAGATTAGCATTTGATATCCCCATAAGTTGGAATATACCATGGTTGATCCCCATAAGTTGGGATATCACTGGCTGATAGTGGAATTCAAAAACTTATAGCTATTGAAAACTAGCATAGCTATTGAACATGGCCATTTAGAGTGGATTTACCCATTAAAAAATGTTATTTTCCATAGTGGAATTCACTAGCTTCTGCTGAAGCTCTCCGGAACTCTGTCCGGTGCCCGGCGGCAGGACCTTGAGAAGGAGGTCCCACCTCGAGTGCTCTACCCGTTGAATCCGCGGGCAGCCCATAATACCACGTGCCATGGCGCCTGAAGCGAAGCGGAGCCTGGTTGATGGGGGGTAACTAACCATATGTTTTTTAATGGGCACCCATAATATGGTTAAATGATGTTAAATGAATTAGACATGTGTTTGACCAACGTGAGGATATTTTTTTCGTACTGATAGTTGGGAAATGATGGTAGTTATACAGGGTCATAGTGTCCTTTATATATTGGGGAGTGTCACAATCCATGAGCTGGGAAATCCGTTGAGAACATCCGTAGCCGTAAAAATGTCTTGCGGTTGTTTCCGTCACGTGTATCAATGGGAATGGCCAAGTATTGTCCTTCGGTTGATTGCTCGTTTGTTAATCTGTTCATGGCTCATTGGTTTGCAGTGAGCATGTGTGTTTTGCATGTTCCTAGTTGTTTTGTTTGTCCATGTGTTGAGCCCCTATTTCCTGTCAGGGCTTCCTGTGACGCCACGGCATGTAGGCAATACTCCTTCAAGGAGAAATGCTTCAAAGTGGATGAACAGGCACAGTCTGGAGCCGCAGATCCATGGAGTTCAGAGTCAGACAATTCTTGTCATCGTATTGTTTGAGAATGACTATGTCATGATTATTTATTGGAACCAGTTATTGATTATTATGATGGTTGGATTATGTATTTGTTGATTTGATTCTTATGTTATTGACATTTATTATTTCATTGGTATTTTTGTTGATATCTATTGATATGTATTGATTGTTATGGAGATTAGTTTGTGTTTGTGTTCTTATCATGTGTACTTTCCCAAGGGGAACTCCACCAGGCCTGGGAATCCAGCCAGGACGTTAATCCAGTTTACCCTGAAGAAATGGTGGTTTTCCATAGTTATGTCAGTTTACCAGAGGGTAACCGGTTGAATCACAGTGGTTCAGTGTTCCCCCCAAAAGTTGCTTGTTTTATTAACACGCGTTCTGAACAAAAAAAGGTTGCAATATATGTGTTTCTTTCCAACCTTAAAAAAAACATATCTCCAAATCACAATGTTTGTCTATTTTACACAGGGGATCAACCGCCAACAATCACCAAGTTATTTGATTTTAACCATCCATCAGGGAAGGTCACCTGGCGACGGCTAGTGGAATCCCATTGGAATCACAGGTGGATCAAGTGGTGATGCACTTCGCGATGGACGGCTTGATCCTTCTGAAGGAAAGTCCAGAAGCCATGGATCAGATCGAGGTGAGACTTTCTGGGCGCTGGGTTAATGTGGGTTATGGTGGACTGTTTTTTTTTTTTAATGTTGGTTTAATGTTGAGTCTAATGTTCATGAATGTCGATTAATGTTGATGTTGACGTTGGTTACAGTAGGGTCGGTGAATGTAGATGTTGATGTTAGTTATTATGTATGTTGATGTCAATGTTAATGTTAATGTCGATGTTGATGTTGCTGTTGCTTAATGTTGATGTTAATTTGAGTGTGTTGATATTGATGTTGATCTTGGATGCTTGGTGGCTTGGTGTTTTCCATCCGCCTTTCAGTCGATGGAATCGGTTGCTGAGTTGGGCCCAGCAGTTCCTTCAAGCCGTTTTTGCGCCAAGAGGTCCTAGAAAAGAAGGAAGCTGAACAGAACGAGAAGCCTGGATGTTCGATGTTTTTTGGGCTGGTTTTTTTTTGTTCACTTTCCCCGGTCAATCAAACATTCGGGGAGTGTAGTGGGAAGATACTCTCCGCTAATCTAGCATGGCTTTGGAAAAACGATTAAACACGCAAGTTAGTTCGATTTGCCCATTAAAACCTCCATTGAGTTCAGGGTTCTCTAAGCCAACCATGTTTGACTACCCCCAATCCTACTCATTTGTGACAATGATCCTGAGTAATTGAAACCGTTTATTTGCAGATGATTTACTACCTATTGAAGATAGCCATTTTCCATGGCTATGTTCAGCTACCAGAGTGTAGATTCTGATTTATATGATTTTATATATCCAGATAGTTACATGCCAGCTATATCGGTATATCCACGTATATCCACAAATGTCCTCATAGCACCATGTTTCAATGGGATTTTCAGGATACTAAATTGGAGGTACCTACCATATATAAAGCCTATATTTCAGGCCTATGTAAGGGACTATCCCAACAAAGTATGGCCTTGTATGGTACAGTACCTCCATTTTAGGATCCTGAAATTCCCATTGAATTTTGTTCGACCCTTTGTTCGGCCCCAGGAAAGAGGAGGCGGAAGCGATCGATGAGGACTTTGATCCGCCCGAGAACGAGAAGGCGCCGGTTACGGGAACGTTGGGTATTGCTATGGGGACTTTTAACCATCAAACATATGGAGACATATTATGAAATGGTATGATGGTTAAACACATACTATTTTTGTTGGTTAAAACCTATATCATACTATATCAATGGAATCAAACACACGATAGTATGATATAGCAGGAACAGTTGGATCAATGGGAATCCATGGAGCGTTTTGGTTGGTGAAGACCTGTCCCGGAAACTGCTGGTCTTTCCTGCAGGTTTTCCCTACCAAGACTGGGGTGACGGAGGTGTCCTCTGAAATGTTGGTGATATGTTTGGGTCTGTCTATGGGGTATACCCCAGGTATAGCCATAAAATGACCATTTTCTGGCGAACATGATCAGAACTGTTGCACGCATTGTCCGATGAAAAATGGTGCCTGATGTTCACTGGCAAGCAGCCAGGTTGTTGTTGTTGTTGTGGTTCTTGTAGTTCTGGTAGTTTTTTTGTAGTTGTTGTAGAAGCAGTACTAGTGGTAGTAGTAGTCGCTGTTCTAGCTGTAATTGCAGTTGTGGTTGTGGTTGTGGTTGTTGTTGTTGTTGTTTCCCTTGGGAGAATGTCAGTTTCAATACAGTCTAAACCCAGTGCTTGACACCACAGGAGATTCCCGTGAAGAATCCCTTGCGTTTCTTGGACGGCAGAGTATCCAGGCGATCCTCCTAGCCATGTCATAGGGGAATGATGGGCAACCATTGGGTTTAGGGGTACACTAGTTTCAGACAGACCTAGATTCTTATGCACATGCATATACGCATATAATAAATAATAATGATAATGTGCATATATGCATATATACAGTAATACATATGTGTATATGATACTGTATATGTATGTATATATGTGCGACCGGGTAAGGGCAAGAGCTTTGTTTTTTTTCCCGGGAAATACAGACGGCCGTGGATGGCATAGAATATCTCAAACTTGGCTCAGATTGATCAATCAACAATTATCTCATTGAGCTTTGCTTATCAGAAGGTGACAGGAGAAGGTGAACAAAGTTTGAATACTGTGACTCTCAATGTGCCCACAGCAATAGGATCAATCATTGCTGTGTGAATTACCAAGTTTTACCACTATATATATATAATAATATGCGCAGCATCTTAGTATACCCTCAAGTACTATCGGTCTGGAATGGCTGGACCTGGGGACCAGCCGGCAAAGCGTCTAGCATGGTAGAGCGAGGCACTTTAGACCCCTGCACCTGTCTCATTTCAGACCCCTTGACTTTCTATGCATATCATTGTACTTATGGATATCATATATTTGATTATATTTGATTATATGTGTATGTAGTTGCAGGGTATGTAGATATTATTTGTATATTTGTGAGTTGCAGTGACAGTGACTTTTTAGCGTTCATCTGGCAAAAATGTCAATCACAAGGTTTCAGAGACCCTGTTGGGCCATTAAGAATTGGGAAGGTATAGTCGGATATAGTCGGTATAGTGGTACCAAAATGGAAGCGCAAAGTGCTCCCAAAAATATGATACTAACATAAAATCGAAAAGGCCCTCCGCTTACAAAAAGTTTCGGAGACCCTAATTTTCTCCTAGAATTCTATGATACACTCACCGCAAGTTGAAAAGATATCAGGGGGATGGTCTGAAATAATAGGGCCCTTCAATTTCAAGAAAAAATCACCACCTAGGCCAAAATAACCACATTAGACCCCTGTAGCTGGGGACCCCCCTCTGGAACACTTCAACTTTGTTACTTACTCAGCCAATGCACAGTGCTCCCAAAATGGAAGCGCATGGTGGTACCAAAACGAAAGCCCATAGTTGAAGATAAAAAACCCTTGTCAAAAGTCAAAAGTACTCTCTAGGGAACAAACGTATCCACTTTTTTTGTGGAAAATATTTTTTTTGGATACGTTAGCTGCTGTGAACATAGGCTATGATAAATGCCCTATACTTGAGACATGTTAGTTGAAAATCCAGAATGGACATGTTAGTGGAAAAGTTGTCCCCCCCTCTGGGGGTTCCCGGGAAACTGCCAGAAGACTACCGCCCCGGACGCCCCAGCATCTTTATTTCCAGACCCCAATAGGGCTCAAATCAAAGACTGCATTGATAACAAAACGGTGGAGAAAAAAGGGGTCCCAACTCCTTCCGGAAGAGCGCATCATAGATGATGCTCGTGGGTGGGCAGGAAGATTGGGGGTGCATTCCAAAAACCAGTTGCATTTACTAAGGGTTGGATGACTGGCCATGGAAAGCGTCCACCTAACGTGTCCGTGTTGTTCAGAGGATGTGGTTTTGAGATATGTGAGTGGTTATTGGCTGAATCTATCCCCCCAAAATAGCGAACATATCCCAGATCAGGGTCGAAATCCAAGGGCCCCAATTGCAGGAACTGAGACATGTTAGCTGTTTTTGGGTCAATGGTCCCAAAAAAAGTTGCAATGCATTCCCCAGGAAATCCAAGAAAACGCCGGTACAGAGTGGACATGTTAGTTGATACCTGAAACGGTAGCCCGAGACACGTATCCACTTTTTTGTGGAAAAAAGTTTTTTTTGGATACGTTAGCTGCTGTGAACATAGGCTATGATAAATGCCCTATACTAGAGACATGTTAGTTGAAAATCCAGAATGGACATGTTAGTGGAAAAGTTGTTCCCCCCTCTGGAGGGTTCCCGGGAAACTGCCAGAAGACTACCGCCCCGGACGCCCCAGCATCTTTATTTCCAGACCCCAATAGGGCTCAAATCAAAGACTGCATTGAGAACAAAACGGTGGAGAAAAAAGGGGTCCCAACTCCTTCCGGAAGAGCGCATCATAGATGATGCCCGTGGGTGGGCAGGAAGATTGGGGGTGCATCCCAAAAACCATTTGCATTTACTAAGGGTTGGATGACTGGCCATGGAAAGCGTCCACCTAACGTGTCCGTGTTGTTCAGAGGATGTGGTTTTGAAATATGTGAGTGGTTATTGGCTGAATCTATCCCCCCAAAATAGCGAACATATCCCAGATCAGGGTCGAAATCCAAGGGCCCCAATTGCAGGAACTGAGACATGTTAGCTGTTTTTGGGTCAATGGCCCCAAAAAGGTGCAATACATTCCCCAGGAAATCCAAGAAAACGCCGGTACAGAGTGGACATGTTAGTTGATACCTGAAACGGTAGCCCGAGACACGTATCCACTTTTTTTTGGTGTTTTTTTTGGATACGTTAGCTGCTGTGAACATAGGCTATGATAAATGCCCTATACTAGAGACATGTTAGTTGAAAATCCAGAATGGACATATTAGTGGAAAAATTGTCCCCCCCTCTGGGGGTTCCCGGGAATCTGCCAGAAGACTACCGCCCCGGACGCCCCAGCATCCTTATTTCCAGACCCCAATAGGGCTCAAATCAAAGACTGCATTGATAACAAAACGGTGGAGAAAAAAGTGGTCTCAACTCCTTCCGGAAGAGCGCATCATAGATGATGCTCGTGGGTGGGCAGGAAGATTGGGGGTGCATTCCAAAAACAAGTTGCATTTACTAAGGGTTGGATGACTAGCCATGGAAAGCGTCCACTTAACGTGTCCGTGTTGTTCAGAGGATGTGGTTTTGAGATATGTGAGTGGTTATTGGCTGAATCTATCCCCCCAAAATAGCGAACATATCCCAGATCAGGGTCGAAATCCAAGGGCCCCAATTGCAGGAACTGAGACATGTTAGCTGTTTTTTGGGTCAATGGTCCCCAAAAAAGTTACAATGCATTCCCCAGGAAATCCAGGAAAACGCTGGTACAGAGTGGACATGTTAGTTGATACCTGAAACGGTAGCCCGAGACACGTATCCACTTTTTTTTGGTGTTTTTTTTGGATACGTTAGCTGCTGTGAACATAGGCTGAGATAAATGCCCCACACTTGAGACATGTTAGTTGAAAGTCCAGAATGGACATGTTAGTGGAAAAGTTGTCACCCCCTCTGGGGGTTCCCGGGAAACTGCCAGAAGACTACCGCCCCGGACGCCCCAGCATCTTTATTTCCAGACCCCAATAGGGCTCAAATCAAAGACTGCATTGATATCAAAACGGTGGAGAAAAAAGGGGTCCCAACTCCTTCCGGAAGAGCGCATCATAGATGATGCTCGGAGGTGGGCAGGAAGATTGGGGGTGCATTCCAAAAACAAGTTGCATTTACTACTCTCGTGAAATCTTACCTGTTGAAAGTTTTTTTTATTTTTTTATTTTTTTTGCTATGTTAGTGTTTGGGTTTTGGGGCTGAGATTCAACTAACTTGGCGTTGGGAACGCATGGTGTGACATGGGCATTTTGGTGCTAACTTGGCGCGTGTGAAGCATCAAGTAGGTTCAATCGGGAACTGCTTTGTTAGCGTTCGTTTGTGCGCGCGTTCATCAGCCTTTCCACCAATATATGGTTCCAAAAACATTTAATCGTACTTCATAGTAGCAAGTAGCGAGATTGGCAACATCGACCAGGAGTTTTTTCATTAATTATTCAATCTATTATATAAACTTGTTGATTTTGAAGCTTTTTTGGGTCCAGTAAGGGTGATGATGATTATGATGTACTATTGGAGGTTTTGGGAACCCTGCGCAAATGCTATGTTAGTAGTCCTGTTGCCAAAGCTTTGGTTTTGGATTGAAAATCATGACTGGCACAAGTGTTTTTGGATGTCTTCCTGGGGCTCACCCTTACTGGGCCCAAAAAAGCTTCAAAATCAACAATTTTATATAATAGATTGAATAAGGAAAAAACTCCTGGTCGATGTTGCCAATCTCGCTACTTGCTACTATGAAGTACGATTGAATGTTTTTGGAAGCATATATTGGTGGAAAGGCTGATAAACGCTATGTTAGTAGTCCTGTTGCCAAAGCTTTGGTTTTGGATTGAAAATCGTGACTGGCACAAGTGTTTTTGGATGTCTTCCTGGGGCTCACCCTTACTGGGCCCAAAAAAGCTTCAAAATCAACAATTTTATATAATCGATTGAATAAGGAAAAAAACTCCTGGTCAAAGTTGCCAATCTGGCTACTTGCTGCCATGATGATTACGATGTACTATTGGAAGTTTGGGAACCCTGCGCAAATGCTATGTTAGTAGTCGCCTTGGGCTCACAACCTTTCCGCCAACGCGTGCGCGCGCGTTAGCGGAAAACAACTCGGCCAGGCCCGAGGACTACTCCTTCCCCGTTGTGTCTTCCCCGTTTTGGGGTCGAAGTCCTCGGGCCTGGCCGAGTTGTTTTCCGCTAACGCGCGCGCGCGCGTTGGCGGAAAGGTTGTGAGCCCAAGGCGACTACTAACATAGCATTTGCGCAGGGTTCCCAAACTTCCAATAGTACATCGTAATCATCATGGCAGCAAGTAGCCAGATTGGCAACTTTGACCAGGAGTTTTTTTCCTTATTCAATCGATTATATAAAATTGTTGATTTTGAAGCTTTTTTGGGTCCAGTAAGGGTGAGCCCCAGGAAGACATCCAAAAACAGTTGTGGTTTGATCTGGTCGGCTGGAGACTCAAAAGAGACACCTAACCTAGCAACCAGGGGTACTTTCATTCTAGATTGATTGATTGATGTGTTCGGTTTCCTGTTTTCTAAAACATGTTTTCCGTGGAGTTTGATGCTAACATAGCACTTTCCATTTGGTGGTTCCAAGCTGTGACAAGTCTCCAGACAGCTATGTTAGCTTATTCTGGTACATTTCTTTTACCCACTTCCTGGGGAATGCCAAACATTGGGAGGACGGAAACAGAGGCTATGTTAGCAGGTGTTGGCAGAAATCACCCAAATGATCACTTTCTCCAAATCCCCAGGGTTGACAACGTAGCCAGATGCTATGTTTGTGAGTTGGTGCCAGGGCTAAAAAAACGCTATGTTAGATTTCACCGGTGTAAGGGTTAGATGACTGGCCATGGAAAGCGTCCACTTAACGTGTCCGTGTTGTTCAGAGGATGTGGTTTTGAGATATGTGAGTGGTTATTGGCTGATCTATCCCCCAAAAATAGCTAACATATCCCAGATCAGGGTCGAAATCCAAGGGCCCCAAATGCAACTGGTTTTTGGAACCCCACATTGAAAAGGCCAATATTCAGTAGCTTGAGATATTGGAATCTCTTCGGGGAATGACTGCACTTACAAGACCCAATTTTTGTCAAAACACTGTTGTTTTCCCTGAACCCCAAAGTCATGGCCAGCATCCGAGATGAAGTGGCACAGGTGCTGCTCATTTGTTGTTCATTGTTTCCGAATTCCAACTTGCTAACATGTCCCAGTTTGGTACGAAAGAGCACGCACTGCACTTCCAATCCTTATTTCCAGACCGCATTGATAGCAAAACGAGCAGAAAAAAGAGTCCCAACTCCTCGGAAGAGCGCGTCATATATGAAGATTGGGGGTGTGTTCCAGAAACCAGTTGCATTTACTAAGGGTTACTGGCCATGGAAAACGTCCACCTAACGTGTCCGTGTTGTTCAGAGGATGTGATTTTGAGATATGTGAGTGGTTATTGGCTGAATCTATCCCCCAAAAATAGCTAACATATCCCAGATCAGGGTCGAAATCCAAGGGCCCCAATTGCAGGAACTGAGACATGTTAGCTGTTTTTGGGTCAATGTGTAAAAAGAAAGTTGCAATGCATTCCCCAGGAAAACGCCGGTATAGAGTGGACATGTTAGTTGATACCTGAAACGGTAGCCTGAGACACGTTTGTTCCCGGGAGTGTATTCAAATTTGAGCCCCATGAAAGAATATTTTTTGGCAGGGCCCCAAGTTGAAGATTAAATCTGTTTATTTGCTACTCTATCAATTCCAAAGTTGATCATGTGTATTCATACGTTGTATCTTGATAGTTCCAAATATGTCCAACGAGAACTCAGAACTCCATTTTAGACCTGGCAGCTCCGGGCGCCATCAAGATCTGGAGGGGTACATGTTATTTTGTTAAACGGTTCAAGCTCCATGACGCTAGACCAAAGGTTTGGGTATAAGATAATCAAGCCTGAGGGTCCCTAGGTAGTAGTTGAGGGGATATCTTAGTTGGATTTGTCTTAAAACAGGGTACCCCCAATTAACCCAGCGGTTTATCATATTTTTGTTATGAAATAGCCATTTGCAGGTTAAATCCATTTAGATTTCCATTTTCATCACGTTCCCCATTGATATCCGTTTGGAGGTAATTATACCTCACTTCCAGACAAACCAAATTCAAGGTGCCACTTGCGTACCTGCAACTCCGAGGCTTCAACTCCCATTCTTTTTTGCGTAAGAAGTCCCTAACTCCATTTTTTGCGCTTCTCATCACAATATTGCCGATATTGTCATATAATGCAGGATGGGGACCCATAGTTGGCTAAGTTGGTTTGTAAGTCCAATACGGTTGATGATATAACATTATATAATTATAGCTAAATTGGGATTATAAATCAACTTATAAGTGGGGGGCACCATCCTGTATTCCCATCTGATATTCCTAGACTCCGTGCATTTTCCCGAGGCAATCAGTTCAACTTCAGCGAGCGCGCAGCGCAATCCAAGAACGCCATCCTCAGGGAACGCGCTTGGACCACAGAGCCTCCACCTACCACCAGGAGCCGAAATGAGTTCAACAGGGAGACGGGAATGAACGGAATGAACCATCCCCACTATACATGGATACATGGGTGCTGTAAAGGATCCCCAAATGGTAGGTTTATGGCGTTGGGTTTCCCACATTACAATACATTACATACATATGTTTCTATATGATACTATATGTATACCCTTTGGTAATCAAAGATGGCAATGGACAATTCCCGAACTCAATGGAGGTTTTACCGCAAGGGAAACACATCTATAAATGTGTTGTGTTTCCATTGCAATGCGTGATCACTGGAGGGTAATATAAATAAAAGAGTTAACAAACACACATACGCACATACACACACATATATACATAGATTCAGATACATAAATAAACCATGACAAACATCCATATATATATATATGTTAATATTGCCAATATATCTGGATTATACATAAAGTTGACATTTCATACCTACACATATCTACACATGGTACTGGGTAAATGGGGTAACTTAGGGCGTCTGCTAGTATTTGTCCAATACCTGTGCTGATATACCTACAAGCCAATGATGCCCGAAGTTCGTCGAAATGGCTTCTATTTGGCTTAAGCCCTAGTTGCTACCCAGCTGCAAAGTTCCGGTCCAACAAGCACCATGAGGTTTGTCACCGCATGGGGTCTATCACCAAGCACCATTTACCACCATTTGTTCTTGATCAATCTTGATAGAGTCAAGTTGAACCCATACCTTCATATAATTATATAGTATTATATATTATATGTTCACATTTTTGGCATTTTGGATCCCCCAAAATTTCCCGAGATGACGTGCCCGGAACATCCTTCGCAGGAACTTTGGCACCGTGACTCAGTGGGAGATCTTCGATCAGTACATGGCAGATATCGAAGCTGCCAAGGTGCGGAGTCCGAGTGGCGAATGGCACCAACTGCGGCCAGAGATGTTTGCTGAGGGCTACAAAACATTACAAAACCCTCAGCCTTTTATGATTTTTTTATGAGGAAATCATGGGGATAAGGGGATAAAACATGATAAAACATGTAAAACCTCAAAAACGAACTATTGTTTTTGTCGGCGTCGTTGCGGCTGTGGAAGTTGAGCATACCTGAAAACGAGCCTTGGGGATGCCCTATGTGGTGTCGCCAGGATATCGAACCACCGGGTTACCGCTCCATGGTGATCTCACGGGAATCAAAGGTTAAGGGGAAGTTATCCCAATATAGCCTTGGTGTTTCGGGTTAGTGAATCTATATAATATTTGGTTGGTGGTTTGGAACATGTTTTTTTCCCATATATTGGGAATGTCATCATCCCAACTGACGAACTCATATTTTTCAGAGGGGTAGGTATACCACCAACCAGTAACATAATTTGCCCAAATTTTAATGGGGGTTTGGGCAACAAATCATGGGCAACTTATATAATGGGATTGAACCAGATCAACTGGGGATATTACCCTGCGGTCATCAAACGTGGCACGTGGAAATCCCGTTTCTCAAAAATCCAGAGGGTAGGGGGATAATACTGGGATACTGGGAGGAATATGAGGGGATGCAACAAAAACTAGGGATGCACAATAGATAGGCTTCATTTGTTGCGTTTTTCGTGCCGAAAGTGGGATGAGTAACCAGCCGAAAAGAATGGAAAGGAAACGGAACCAACTTGAATCAACCCGTATTCTGGTGAGTTTCTTTTCGTATCTCTTTTCTGATGAGCATGTGTGTTGTCTTAACATCACGACGCGAATATGGGTAGCCGGCACAACCAAATGGCAGACACGCAGTCCTCCGAAACAGCATGGGCCATGCAGCATGGGAAACTACGTCGCAAACGAAACGATAGGGATTCACTCTTCTATCACGGCGAGCTCAGTGTCCGGGCAATTCCGAGCATGTGAATCAACATTGTTGTTATCACATATTGGATGATGGGAAAATTTACAGGAAATCCCTATATTCGATGGTAAACCATGGTTTCCGGTTGAGATTTTCCCTTAAACCAATCCATTGTTTGTACAAGATCATCCAAGTTTTGGGCTTCCCATTCTTGACAGAGACCTTTCAAGGCCCACAAAGCAGGCACAAGGGCTTAGCCCGGCTTCCCATGATTGATGGATTGTTCAATCAGCCTACAGTGGGTGATTGAACTGAAGCTAGGATCTGAATGGTTACCAAGTGGGGCATACACACGTAGATAGGTACGTAGGTAGGTAGGTAGATAGATAGATATACCTGCTACATGCTGCTGTCCCAGCCACTTTGGTTTGTCTGATAATAGGGTATGTACCCGCCAAACACCATATATGGTTAATCAATGTGTATCATCATTTTTCCTTCTAGAATCGCAAATGTATGAGTTTGGATATGGTTGCAGCTCATTTCCACACACACACACACACACGCAAACACGTCTCCACTTCTCGGCCCGGCCAGGAGAAAGAGAAAGATGTGGCTTGGCTGTTGGAGCAGCTGCTTTTGTGTGACCGAAGCTACCTTGACCCCAAAAAAGATCCTATGAAAATTGGAATGTGGGTGAAAGATCCCAAGTTTATGCGCAACTTTGAGTCAAGATGTTTCTGCAGCCATGCGCAAATTCTCTTCCAGTTTTGTTTGGTGGTAGATAGTTCCCATTCAGGTCCTTTCCTTAGGATAGGAATCATCCAACTTCTTGTGACACCCTCTGGAAACCTGGATGAGCTGACAATATGAATATGACACTCACCAGTTCAAATTCTATAGGTGATTTCCTCTTTCGACTTTTTTCCCGTTGGTTGGACTGCCTATCCCACTGCTTAATTGCCATCCCAAGTGGGTTGACGCACGTTGGCACGTTGGGAATTAGGCTTCCTGGCGTTGAATATTGGACCGCACCAGATCCCAAACAACAGGACAAGAAGAGCGGCAAATCGGCATATGACGACATGTCCGAAAAGAAGAAGAAGTCAGACTCTGACACCCGGTGTGGCAGATTGGGTTAAAATTGGTCACCGAAGAACAGAGGTGCAACCTATTACAGGTGATTCATTTACCCAGTTTCCCCCCTTGTACCTGGGGTGTTGTGAGCCACCATGGTCTGGGGTATCATACGTTTGGATACATTTGGGCCACTGTAGATGACTTTGATCGTCGCGCACTCCAATTTTGTCTCAGGCATGGGAATGTCACATGATATCACCAACGTCAACATTCAGAGGCAATGCAATTTCTTAGGAGGGTAAGCGATCAAGACCTGAAAGTGATAAATCAACCATGGAAGCACCCCAAACTACATTCACATACAGAGATCCATCGTGTTCTATTTTTCTTGGGGCATACCAAGCGAGCCCCCTAGCTGTAGACTATGGTTTATGATTGTTTACGATACTTACACATATATATTATCTATAGATAATGGGGTTTTTCTCAGCCAACTCATAAGTGACGTCCTATGTTTCTTGGGGCGTGTTTTTCCACACTGGATCCAGCACTTCAACCGTTCAACCGCCACTTTTTCGAGGATCCTACATACTCTGAGAACATGAAGTTGTCAATTAAGATCATGGAGCGCATCTTGGCATGGCTGGATATTCCATGATATTCCTAGGCCTGGCCACCTGGCCACTGATACTGGTGGATATTCCTAGGCCAGTGAGGACTGCAGTTCAACTGAAGTGAAGCTGAGGGTGATATAACTTTTGATAGTGTGGACATGGGCGTTTCAGTTGGTGTAATGACAGCAATCCAACTCCATATCCGACAAGTTCTGAAGCTGGCCATAGATGTCTGAAGCTGGCACTGCTATTCTACAGGCTATAGTATTTCTTGGAAGCGGTGGTTTTCGTGATTCTTGAGTTCATTTCTTCGACAGGGAAAGCCACTATAGTTATTGTTCGATGGCGCCCTTAAAACAAGGAGCCACATTTGCCCATTTGGAAATTTGAAAACTGTGTGTCTCTGATTGAACACGGCATGGAGAACCCTATCCTAATGGGACACCAGGAAGTATTTCACGATTTTCCTATCCATTTTCTCACCGCCAGAGATATGCTGCTCAACATCTAGGCATGGTGAATCAGAACGCGGAGAACGAGGTGTACCATGACTTCAAGTACTGGGAAGACCGCAGCGACGAGTTCCGCGATGGCGCCTTTGTTTTCAACTCCCCCCCATTTTTCACTGGTTGGTGGTTTCAAACATGTTTTATTTTCCATATATGGGATGTCATCCTTCCCATTGACTAATTAATTAATATTTTTCAAGATGGTTAAACCATGTTAAACCACCAACCAGTTCACCATGGTTTGATGGGGATTTCAACCATTCCTGGTCATGGTCGGTGACAATGTCATTGGGAAACCCCAAAAACTGCCCCAGGTGAGGGCACTCTGCTGCCCCTGTGGCGCTTCTCTTCTGAGAAGGCGAAGAAAAAGCAGGCCCACGGTGGGTAGTTGGCGGTTGTCCCCACTTAGTAAGTATAGGATATACCCTGAGTTAGAAGTATATAATGGATATAATGGGTGGTAAGTCCAGTTATGACTGGGGGATGTAACCTGCTTCCTACATAAACCTCGAAGTTTGAAGTTTGGATGGTTTGGATGAAATACATCATCTCCCCGTTATATCATGGTGTTACTGGTTTGTTCTCCCCATTTAGTTCTTGACAAGTCGGAGCTTCCCAACCATGAACCATCTTCTCAATGGATGTGTTACGGGCTTCAAGCAGCATCATAACGACCTCACTGTTCTCACTGGAATGATTAGGATTAGGGTAACTCTCCCAAAATAGCTCAACTTTTTGGGTCAACTATGGCCAACTATCCCAACATCATCGAACATAGCCCCGTTGTGTTCCCCATGTGTTAAGCCATTTTTCATGGCTTGAAAAGCCATCATTTTTCCCCACAAAAAAACTATGGATCAATCCTAGGTCACCTGCATCAAGTGGAACCCACACTACAGCGACCTCTGCGCCGTGGGCTTCGGCTCCTACGACTTCATGCGGCAGGGCACCGGCGTCATTTGCAGCTTGGCGGCGCTGGCGAACGAAAATGGATGGGAGAAGGGGATGGTAAAGCCATGGAAATGGAAAACTGGTTGATCTGGTTGGTGGTTTGGAACTTGTTTTATTTTTCCATATATTGGGAATAACATGGAATAACAATCCCATGGAAATGGAAAATCTTGGAGATTTGGGAATGCTGGGTTGGCCAAGCCGCAAATCTAATGATTTGTTGGCCGCTTTTTTTGGGGGGATTTGAGTTTGAATCAACTAAGACACATTTGTTTAAAGCAAACTAGTTGCTACCTCTGGCAAAGATGTGCATGTTGTCTATTTTTTGTTTGCAGTAGGCGTTTTTGCCTCCTTTTGCTCCACTCCCTGAACTTTATTTTCAAGGTTGTGGTGCAGAAGACGACA